AAATATAATTTAAATTACTTAATATCTATCAGATTCTGTTTTTCACTTTAAACTTTCCATGGTTTAAAAGTTTGAAGTCAAAAAAAGAAGCTTTTTGTTTGATATCATTTTGTGCATACCGTATTTCTTCGAATAGAAGACCGGGTAAAGAGTATGATCGCGTACTCCTGCGTAGCAGCCCTTTTTAAAATTTCTTTTCTGCATAAAAGCTTTCAATGAAGTGCTATAGGGCTGGAAAATGGCTCAAAAATACCACATGAGCTAACAGATTTTTGAGTCATTTTCCAGCTCTATAGCACTTCATTGAAAGCTTTTATGCAGAAAAGAAATTTTAAAAAGGGCTGCTACGCAGGAGTACGCGATCATACTCTTTACCCGGTCTTCTATTCGAAGAAATACGGTATTTGAAGTACAATACATGCCAAAATCTCGCATAATTAAAGTTTTCTTTTATTTCAACTTTCACCAATTGTATTTTATTCGATAAAACTTTAGATTTGAAAGGGAAAAGTGGATAAACAATACTATTTGACCCGCCCATTGTGATTCGATGTCCAACGGGAGGGGTTCGGCCCTGCAAGTGCAACGACAGTTCCACAATGAGCACAACAACCACTCGCAACAGGTATTACCAGTGTGTTCCTCGCGGTTAAACAATCAATTGAATAAATTTGCCCATTGTTTTTGTTATTCGATTAATCTGTTAATGGTCTGTTAAAGCGACGATTAAACAAATTGATTTGTGCAAAAATTTTTTCGAATACATATTGCTACAAATAACGGCGCTTTTTTTGAATAATACATTTGAAAAAAGCTTTTCGAATTTAAATTAGCATTTGAAATTTTGAATGTAAAATTTGCGCGGCGACTTTTTGCCGCGGGTTCGAATTCCCTCCGTGTTCGAGCTTGGGAATCGACTTGGGAAACGGGGCGCGCAATTCAAGTGGCCTCCTCTGCTCTCCCCCGTCAGAGAATTCGAACACAGAGGGGATTCGAACCCGCGGCAAAAGTATAGGCTTGTTGGTGGCCTTCGCTATCCACTAGACCATCGAGGTGGCAAGGGAGAGCGAGAGAGGCCACTTAACCTCTAGCGCTCGTTTCCCGAGTAGATTCCCAAGTTGGCAAAGCGTTTTCCTCGAAAACTAGAGCTTCTTGGCAAAATCAAAACCATCGTGATCACCGTATTCGACTTGTGTTTGCACCAGTGGTTTTTACCGTAGGAAATGAAATGACTGAAGAGTGTTGAAAAGCTGAACTTTTGGGTTAATTTAGCTCAAACAGATATCATTTTTTTTTAAATGAGCACATCCCCAGGGGGAGATTGATATTCAGCCTTTAGCCTGCCTTTATCTGCAATCCTTGAACAATAAAAATCCAGTAAATTAAGAACAACAGTCAATTGAGATCATTTTAGATGACCGACGAGTCGTCGGGTCGCTTTAAATTCAACCCGGAACGCCAATTCTACTTGCTCAAGCTCATTTTCGGCATTCTTTGCATCATCGACATCACCCATTGGGGATATTTATTACGGTAGCTTGAGATTATGTTTTTAAAAAAGCTGTTAAATCTCAGTGATGACAACGCGAGTGATGAGAACACTTGGAAATTTTATATTCGAATCGATCAAGCCGAGATGTATTACTTGGTAAGTGATTGATGATTCAAAGTGCTTTAAAACCCATCGTTTTTGCAAAAGCTTTACATAACTTTAACTAAATTTTCTACAAAACTTTGTTATGTTCATTTCATGGCAAAGATCAAAAGTCAGTCATGATTTCTGTTGTAAGCTTGTTTTTACAAAACGGCTATGACAAAGCTAAAGATTACATTTGCTCGAAGTAGTAAATGTAAGAGCAAAGATAAATTCTCCTTTATAAACTGTACAAAATAAAAGCACAAAAATTTATTTGCAAGAAAATTGACTAGGTTTTCAACAAAACTTTCAACAAAACAAAACTAGACTTTCTGCAAGAATTTGTAAATGACTATCGTAAATACTGTAATAGTACCCCACCCCCCTCGTACAGTCGCGTCGTCGCAAAAGTTTTTTAGTATTTCATTTTTTTCAAAGCGCCCATACTTTCAAAAAATGCGTCTTTGGTATCAAAAAAATAGCCCTGAATTTCAGCTATTTTTTGATACCTAAGTGCGCATTGTAGCATAAACCAGTGTCGAGAAAAACTCGTTCAAAGCTAGACTACGCAACACTCCGCACCGTCATTATGGGGGTGGGGTACTATTACAGTATTTACGGTAAGTATTCTACAAAACTTCTAGTCATATTCTCATCGATAAATCTTAATCTCACTTTTTAGATAGCTCGAATGTTCGGAGATATTTTTGTTTGCGTCCTCGGATTGGGAGCGGCGATGTGGACTCGGAAGTCGGTGTTGACCGTTCCGTGCATCGTCGTTCAACTCATTTTCGTCGTTTATAGGTGAATGGAAATCAAAAAAAATCTTTCTAATCCTAATCACTTTCAGGTCAATCGTCTGGCCAGTGCGTCACTTTCGGGGTATTCTGAAAGAAAAGCTAAAATCGCATCCAGCGAGAACAGAAGACATTGTACGTTATAAGGATTTCTGTTATTGGAACTTTCAGATTTCTATTTTCAATTGAATAGCAAGCAATTGAATAATTTTTAGGCATTTATCTTGTGTGAATTCATGCTACCAATGGCGTGGGGTCTTCTTTCGGTGCTTATCGTGCGCACGATGCGGGTTCTGCGGTGAGTAGTTGCTTTAATATGCAATATAGCAATATAGCAATATACAATAATATTCAGATTGATTGCAACGTATCTAGAAGGATCTAGTGTAACATAGAAAGCTAAAAAAAAACTATCGTTAAGTGCGTTTAAATCGATTTTCCTATACACTTTTTGAAATTTTGAGACAACAGAGTTTATTAAACTCGATCATCTAAAGATTTGGCTCACAATTCATTCAAATCTTAATCTTTCAGACAATTCGAGCAACTCAACGGTTATGCCCATCCACCGGTGATCGTGCTGACAGTGAAAAACGAAGAAAACGACGAGAGTGTTCAAATTGAGCTCGCCTGAATAGTTTACTTAAAAATCTTTTACCGTAATTATTCTAACGTAATTATTCTAACTAAGTAGGGCCAGCTTTTCCAATTTGCTCTCCCCATTTCCTGGATTCTCAAATTCCCATGGATCTCATTTATTTTTCTTGATTACTGCTAATGTCACGGGTTTCTTTTCTTCATTGTTTTCTTTTTTCGAACTTGCAATAATCATAAATGTGTTTTTTAAATAAATTTATTTAGGAAAAAGGTTTATTTGCTAAAAAGCACCTGTAGTTGGATAAAAGAAATAACAAAAAGAGGAGAAAAAGAGGTTGGGAAAAGAAATCTCTACTTTTTCAATAAAATTTTAAAAAAACAGTAGTATGCAAATTGCAAGAGGGTGACCCTGCAAAAAAAAGAACAATTTCACAGTACTTTTGTATCCGATACAGAAATGCTAAAATTTCGGGGCTGGGACTAGACGAAAGGTTCAAACTGGTACAAGACGAAAGGGCCTGGGACAAGACAAAAGGTTCAAACTTTTTGACTCCGAAAATTCATCCACTTCAAGTATTGGGTTGGTGAATTGAAAACTGCGGGGCTTTGAACTAAAACTTATTCAACACAAAACCATAATTTCATTCCTAATAATTTCCATTATTATTGACGACTTCTGCCCATTTTAAAGGCAATTTGCGGATTCCTCTTTCGTGGTAGGGTTTTGGTTATGAATCGAAAAACTTTCAAAGCAAATTTTGGCTGCTTCTTCCGAATCGAAGTGTTCTCCCGCAAGCTCATTACTAATGATCCGGAATAAATAGTAATCAAAAGGGGCGAGGTCCGGACTGTATGGGCTATGCGCCAAAAGCTCCCAAACAAGGCTATTTATTTTAGAGCGAGCCAGTTTTGCAACATGAGGGCGCGCGTTGTCGTGGATGAGAACGATCTTTGACTTGGAGGGCCTATTCTTCTTCGGGGATTCATTCACCTTTCCCAACTGTTCACTGTATTTGATTGCATTAACGGTCGTCTTGCTATCCAGCAACTTCCAGTACACCACTCCCTTCATATCCCAGAAAACGCAGAGCATAAACTTCTTCTGGGGCAAATCGAGTTCGAGTAATTTGGAATCATTCAGTTGGGATGCCGCTCCACGGCCCTCTGCATCTTTCAAAGATTTGTCCCCAGATTGAAACTTGGCAAACCATACTCGACACGTTCTTTCGAAAGGTGAGTCCTCCCCATATATCCTTTTTAATATTAGCAGCTGCCAAGCCTGCACTGTGCTCTTGTAGGAACTCATGAATCATGACATGACGAATATGTCCCGGTGGCAGATCGTCGAGTGCAATAGAAGAAGTGAAGAAAAATACCAAAAAATAAAAAGCTGGAAGCATAGTTTTTTCGCAATAATTTGAGGAAATGTTGAAGTAAACAAACCCCCTTTCAGCTGGTTCAATGCTGTTGTTTTTTTATCTGCGAGTCCCGCGAAATAGCCGGCAGTTTTCAATTCACCAACTCAATACTTGTACAGATCTTACAGCAAGACACTGTAGTCTTACGGTGGACGAATCCTTTAAATTAACCAAATTTCAAGAAAACAATCGGAAATCTACAAATGTAAGACAGAGAAAGCATCACAAAATACCTCGCATTGTCGTAATAATCTTTCATCACCAAATACTAGAAAAAAAATAGAAAGAAACACATTGATTAAAGGTTTTTTTGCATAGTGCTGCAGTGAGAATAAAGCCAACAATGATAAGCAGGAGAAAAGATCAACAATTTGAATACATATAAAGAAAGCCTAAAGGCGCTTAAAAGGAAAAAAATATGATATAACAAGCTGATTAGCTTGTTATATTCGTTGATTATTTGCTGATAACAAGCTGATTAGCTACAAACTGGTGTTGAAAAATTAATTGAAAAGGGTTAGCTAATCCAAGTATAAGGGTTGCTTATACTCAATCTAGGCGCTGTGAGTTGTTCCCGTGGCGTAACTTATCACATTTGGCGAAGAAGGTTCTAAAAGAAAACATCTTCAGTAAACTCCTAGTTCTATTGTTCATAAAAAACCACATTGAAAAATTCAATCCGAATTGAGCAAAAAAAAAGCCATTCCCACCTCACATGTGTCGGCAATTCGTCAGCCAAATAGATGAACTTGTGTTTGAATTGCCGATTTGAGGGAAACTCGAGGTATTCGACGTCCCGTTCCGCTTGCTTTGCCGCGTCCTGAATTGAAAAATGTTTTTCAAGCAAATAAACAATGAATTTAGCGTAGATAAAAATTAAAACTAATTAAGCTAATCAAAAAACTAACTCTCAAAAGTCGTCCAAGTTTCGCGGGGATTACGTGGTCGTCTTCGGCGTGGATGATGAAAATCGGACATGTGATGCTAAAAATATTATAGTCACTTTGTTTGTACTGCTCATCTTTAAAATCTGCAGTAAACGGTTTAGATGCTGCTATAAAACTACTGCTAACAATCAAATCTAATACTCACTCAACAATTCGCTGATCACTGTTCATGTTCAATCCGACCGAGCGCAATGGATTTAAAATCAACAAATTCACCAACGTGTCGGGCATCCAGCGAATTGGCTAAAGTTATCACATATAGTTGCATGTTGTAACGCTTTAATTTTAGGTTAATCTACCCTTAAAAGAATTTAATACCTAGATGAATTTAATACCTGGTTAATCTACCCTTAAAAGAATTTAATACTTAGATAATTGTGGTGCTAAAAGATGAAAGAACTAGATATAGCTCAAAAAAACTTTATAGAAACTTTATATAGAAATTTTATATAGAAAAAGCACACCGAGAAGCCCATTGCGATGAGTGTTTGCTCAATGTTCTGTAGAAAGAAAAGGTTAAATGCTATATAAAATTAAAAATACCTAAAGGTAAGTCTAAATCAACTTTACCCCAAATCTATAGAGATTAGCAAAAACAGTTAAATTTTGTGCAAAAGTGCATTGTGCAAAAGTAACACAAGATAACAATATTTTTATGATCAAGAGGAAAAACTTACAAAACTAAATGGGTGATTCATGACGGCATCGTGAAGATTATTGAACGGTGACTCTAAGATGAGACCATCAGGCGCTTTACTCTCTTTTGACAAGTCTTGCACGAGCTTCGTTGATACCCTGTAAAGAGAGCAAATTATGAGATCACATCTAGCATCCAATAAAAAGCTGCCGTCAATCAAAATCTACCCGGTACCCATCGAGTGCCCCCAAATGATGAGAAGATTCTTGCCGACTTTCTTCCGTAAATATTCAAAAACGAGTCGTGAATCGGCCACAAGTCCCTCCTCTGTTGGTGTGCCCTCGCTGTCTCCATAACCTAAAAAAATTTCTTTGCTAACTAACATAAATTCTCTAATAGAGTGTTTTATTGATGTTATTCTAAGCCCGCACCTCTGTAATCAAAAGCAATCACTTGATAGTTCATATCGTTAAGCACATTGTACAACTGGCATCGGTGATCAATTGTTCTAAAAAAAATGTTTTTAAAATTACCATAAAGTGTTACCTATCAAATGAATTTCCATGCGCGTAGAGTACAACCGGGTAGACTTCTTTCGAGAGAGACTCCTCCATTTCCTCGCCAGTCGGAATTATATTCTTGTCGTGGTATCGAGCCGAGAGACTCCGTGGCCACATATGCCTAAAAATCATAAAGGTACCGTTATCCTATCTAACTATCAGATATTCAAGACATCAAACACTCACCAAACTCCAATTTTCCCTTGTTCACCCTGTAGATAGAAACTTCGACCCGTCGATTTCACGTTGTTCGCCGAAACATTCTCATAGTCGGTCATCGGGATTTTACCTAAAGCATAAAAGTTATTAAAAAATAATGAGAAAAGTTACATTTTGACCTCCTACCAAACTTTTTAAAAACATTAGCTACCTGGGGGTGGGAAAAATGCGACCTTTTTTGCGCACCCGGACCTTTTTTTTGCTGGAAAAGGCCTTAGGCAAGGCCGTAGAGCTTCGAAAATATTTCTATATAAGGGAATCGTATGCGTAGATTCCGAATTTCGACAAATCAGACCTCGCTGACACGTCAAATTTGGGCTAAAAGGCAAAAACTACGCAACTTAACGCTTTTCCGCAGTTTTTGCCTTTTAGCCCAAATTTGACGTGTCAGCGAGGTCTGATTTGATTTTTCGGAATCTACGCATACGATTCCCTTATATGGAAATATTTTCGAAGCTCTACGGCCTTGCCTAAGGCCTTTTCCAGCAAAAAAAGGTGCGCAAATGTCCAGGTGCGCAAAAAAAAGGTCGCATTTGTCCCACCCCCAGCTACCTATTAAAACCAGCTACAGTACTGGACAATGAAATATCATATTTGAAAAACGGTCGTCACTTTCGCGCGTCTGTAACTCCCTTGTCTTTGAGTTTAAACTATTAGTGTTATACATTTTCTGAAAGCTCTTTTCAAGGGCTACACAATGGTAATATCAATATTTAGAAATACGGTAAAGACAGGGGAGTTACAGACGCGCGAAAGTGACGATCTTTTTTCAAATATCATATTTCATTGTCCAGTAGTGTACAAACAAAAAAACTTACGAAAATTGAGAAAGAACAGATTTTGCATGACGTGCGGACAGAAGTAGATGAGCAATGGCAAGAGGACGAAGACGAAGAGAAGCGGAAGAGCGCCGAGCAGAAGCGAGACTTGTACAACCCTGCAACAAAAGGATGATCTCATGGTGGTGAATGGTACAGTCCATATGTACAAGAAAGTGAAAATGGGCAAGATTAGATCTTTTTTCGTCTTGTGTTGATAAAAACACGATCAAGTTCAGTTCGGAGTCGAGCCGGTTTTCAGCTCTTTTTCGTAGAGTTTAGCTATCTAGCTGTGGACTTTGACATCGTTTTTGAAAAGGGGGAAAGTAAAACAAGAATTGCATTCATTTGCTTTTAACAAAGTGATACGCAAGTCATTTTTTTTAAACGAGTTTAGATGTGCTGCAAAAATAGGCTCAACTCCGACGCTTGAGTGGACTCACCATTCAATTATGCGCATGGATATTTGCATAAAAATTGTGCGCACAAAAAGGTTCTTGGGCGAAAATTTACGCGATGAATGAGAAGATCAAAGAGTAAAATGAAAAAGAAAAGACATTTATTGGAAATGGTTTTATTTTTTTCCATTTTCCCCAATGCTATATTATTTAGGTTAATCTATCCTTAAAAGAATTTAATACCTAGATGCTTGGGGTACTAAAAGATGAAAGAACTAGATATGGCTCAAAAAAAAACTTTAATATATAGAAAAAGCACACCGAGAAGCCCATTGCGATGAGTGTTTGCTCAATGTTCTGTAGAAAGAAAAGGTTAAATGCTATAAAGGAAAAGGTTAAATGCTCAATGTTCTGTAGAAAGAAAAGGTTAAATGCTATATAAAATTAAAAATACCTAAAGGTAAGTCTAAATCAATTTTACCCCAAATCTGTAGAAATTAATATATAGAATTTACGCGATTAATGAGAAGGTCAAAGAGTAAAATGAAAAAGAAAAGACATTTATTGGAAATGATTTTATTTTCTTCCATTTTCCCCAATGCTATATTATTTAAGTGAGATTTCCCGGTTAACTACTTAAAAACAATTTTTTTCCCTCAAGTCTAGGCCAATGTGATAAGAGCGGGGACTGTGTGAGTGAAAGTGAAGAGTGAAAATACAAAAATGAGCTTAGACAAATTTTTGGCAATTAAATAGAGTAAAAAATTTCAATAAATAGTCTTGGATAATAAATTTTAAGCTAAAAATTGAGCAAAAGTAGGTGCAAAGATACTTGGCGGGGCAAATCTGTAAACTCGTATTAACATTTTGAAATTTTACACTAGGACATTTTTGATGATGCTGAATCGATTGGTGACATTTACAAACTATGATCCCTTATTATTATGATGTTATTACATTGAGGTCTGGCTTTGATATTTTCTTTTTTTTATGTCTTTTCCTTAGTTTTGTAACTTTTCTTAAGTTTTTCTTTAGTGTATGGCGCAAGCAAGTTTAGCAGTGACGGCTAAGCTTGAATTGAAGGCGTTTAACTGAAGAGAATGGCTTAAGCTCTTAAGAGAATGTTTTAGCCTCTTAAGACAATGGCTCAAACTCGTTATCAAAAGTGACAAGGATTTCGATGATTGGTTGGCCGATATGAGACTGCTTTGGAAAGATCGAGGATGCCCGAATTGTGGACGTCCGATGCGCTTAACTAAGCAGGGAGCGGGTGTAAGATTGAAGTTTGAGTGCAGCTTGAGAACATGTAGGAAGAAAGTTGGCTTTTTAAAGGTTAGTTGTTTGCAGGGTTGTTAAAAAACTTCAAAAAGTTTAGAAACTGAGGAAAAAGCATTAAAAAATAGAAAAATATCAAAGCCGGGTTCATTTGTAATAACAATAACATCAAAATAACAAGAAAATATAGTTTATAAATCTCACCAATCAATTCAGCATCATCAAAAAGCCCAATGTAAAATTTCAACATATCAAGACGAGTTTACAGATTGTTTAGTATAATAAAGTAACAAAAAGCTCACATAAAAAGCAGAAATAAATCAATAAATCAGAAAAGAACAAGAGTTTTCTTGGGAGATTTATGCAAATTTGCAATTGTTATTAGGTTGGAGAGTATGAAATGACGCCGACTTGGTATGGGGTAACCTAGGGTAGACACTTATCTCGACTTTGACGCCAATTTTCTCTATGTTTTTATCGGTAAGTCTACAAAACAGATTCTATATTTCTTTAATCAAATTTAATATAGATTCTAATAAAAGTGATCGTGAGTTCTTTCCGCTTTTACATCTTAAGTTATAGACTATTTAAGTGGATCGAACTTCTATAACATCGAGTAGTCTTTATCAAATTACACACGGTAGTATTATTAAAAAGGTCACTTATTTCTCTACAAAATCATAATTAAAATAGAACTCAAAAAGCGCCCCAAATTCAATAAAAAATCCTTTTTTTCCGAAAAATCTATAAATCGTCATTTAGAGAAAATGACTGACAAGATCATTACAAAAATTTGGCTACTTATGTAATTAGATGTGCTCTAAATTCTTTGCTTTGACATCAAGTTAAGTTTCTGTGTAAAGAACGAGTCAAACGACGAATTGTATTCCTTGTCATTTTGACTAGTTGCGTTTAGGAGCCCACAAAATCCACAAAACAAAAGCTTTTCGAAATCTCTCAAAAGCCATTTTGTAGAGCAATGATAGATCTTTTTGATTATACAAACAATGAGCTTATATGGAGCTTTTATGCGTTCTAGAAAAACGTTTGAAAGTCGGCGCTATTTTATACTTCTCAAACCAATAATTAGACTTTAGTGTATCTAATTTCAAAATTTTGCCTTTACCGATAGTTTTTGCGATTTCGCTCGCTCTTCTAAAACTCCATTCTTCAAGACATTAGCATTGGCTTTTGAAGATCAAAAAGATCAAAAAGATCTTCAAGACATAGATAGATCTTTTTGACTATACAAACAATGAACTATATGGAGCTTTTATGCGTGCTAGAAAAACTTTTGAAAGTCGATGCCATTTCATATTTCCCAACCCAATATATGGTAATTTTGAAATAGCCGTCGCCATGGAGTTTAACTCAACACGAAAAAAAAGAAACGTTTTTCTTTGGGTATTAGAAAATTCGAAAGGATTTGAAGGATTTCGAAAACTAATGACCCGGGATTTGAGAGTGGGAATGGGTGGAGCTGGAAGAGATGCTCGATAGGGGATTTACTCCACAAAGACGTGCTCACTTTTTGAATAGGCTTTAAAAGAAATTGAAGAAATTGAAAAACTTTAAATCGTATCGAATCAAATGAGGAAATCTCGGTTTTTCAAAGATATTTGAACTTATTTCTTTAAATTTCTTCATATTTCGAACCCAGTTTCGTTAGTTATCAACTAATTTATTAAATTTCAAATGTCAACCCCTCATTGTGCTCTTGTCAATTGTACTTATTTTTCACAAATTGTTCAACACATTGTTCAACACAATGAGAATCGTCGATTTATCACGATAATGAGCAAAATGTGAAAAAAAGAATGAAAGAGAGTGGCTGTTTCACCACCCAAAAGCAAAGAACATGAAAAAAAAGTGAGAGGGAATTCGCTTGTCGAAAGTGGCAAAAGGTCACCCCATCACCCCACAACAGTTGGTGTAAAAATGAAATGAAATCACAAATTATCGTATCAACAAAGTGGTAGTTAATTTTGGATTTGAGCAGGAAATCTTTCTTTCCTCGCAAATAGCCTATCATAGAAAGGAATGAAGATATTCTCTGGGGACTATTAGAGATTGGTCCAACGGATTTGTGCGAGGAGAAAAGACAGGAAACGAGGAATGAAGAGGAGAATGAAGAGCGGAAAACAGCGACTTCACCCGTCACTTACTCTCTTTCAAGTTACCTTAGAAACGTTTATGTCCATCAATGTATATCGCAAATTTATATAATCCTTGGCTTTACAAAGCTTTCTGAAGCAACTTGTGACAAGCTTTCTGAAGATTAAAGGATAAAAAAACTTCACCTAGCATCCACTTTTTCTAGTGTTCAGCAATGAGAAAACTTATCAAGTCTGGGAATTCAAAGAAAACAAGATGAGAGGGAAACCTTGAATACCAATTAGCCATTGGATGCGAGAATCAATTATCCAAAAAATTTCCACTTACATCGAGATCCAAAAGATGCCAGCCGTGAAATAAAAAATAATTGGCGGGATTCTCGGTTTTTTCTCGGATTCGGCGATTTTCTTGTAGCAATTGTAGGAATGTTTGAGTAAAGAGTTAGCAAAGCCCATGATTAGATAAATAGAATGGCAGAATTGAGGTCAAATCCTATGATAGTTGTTTTTGAAGTAAAGGCGAAATGAAATGAAAACAAAACACAAAACAATAAAAGCAATGAGGGGGGCAGGGGTGGACTGTCTCGTGAAAAGACAGCTCTTTTCTCTCTCTTTCTCCTCCATCACGCTGAGTCACGTGACTTTCTCTGCTAGCACTCATCATTTATATTTCAAGACGGAAAGTGATAGTTGCAAAAAAAAACTTACTCAACGTTATTAGGAAAGAGAGTTTTGAGCGTATGTGTTTTTTCAAAAATTAAAAAAATCCTCTGACGCAGTGACCGTTTCTTGACAAAAAATCGATCGAAAGTCAAGAATTTACCAGAAACAGCGTGCTTCCTTTCTTAAGCACAAATTAGAAAAAGAAAAATGTTTGTTGGTATTAGATTTAATCTCATAGAGTTAGGATAAATTGAAAGTACAGATGACGTTCCGAGAGAGTTGGGTTGATGGACTGCTCGCTTATGGGATTCTATGGGAAAAGGGTAGAGATTTTGATATTATCTAATGATTAGCTAATGATCTAATGATTATCTAATGATTAGCTAATGATTAGACATTACCTAATGGCAAAGTTATTTCACCTCAATTCTGACCACACTTGTCGCAACAATGCATGCACTTCGTATAGTATGGAATACAAAGTGAGTTCTTAAACAAACCTAGGGATCAAGTATCTTGACACAAAATCGATCGAAAGTCAAGAATTTACCAGAAACAGCGTGTTTCCTTTCTTAAACACAAATTAGAAAAAGAAAAATGTTTGTTGGTATTAGATTTAATCTCATAGAGTTAGGATAAAGGGTAAAGGCCGAGATTGTTTTTTTTTCTGAGAGAATAAGAATATTTCCAAGAAGAAATACTGAAGTAGGCTTTGTTCTTAAAATTTAAATGATGAAAACTTCTGAGGTAAGGGTTTAGTAAACGACCCATCCATTTTTCGTAGAGTTTAGCTATCTAGCTGTGGATTTTGACACGGTTTTTGAAAAGGGGGAAAATAAAACAAGAATTGTATTCATTTGCTTTTAACAAAGTGATACGCAAGTCATTTTTTTAAACGAGTTTAGATGTGCTCTAAAAATAGGCTCAACTCCAACGCTTGAGTGATCAACGCAGCCAATCGACCCCAAATGATGTTTTCGACCATGCTGATTCAAAATATCAACATTTACCTAATGGAAAACATCAAATGGCGCCATCTACACAAAGCTCGCTGCCTTAAGTCGTTAGCAACGTAAAGAGAAAGTAGCAAAGAGGCAGATACGATGAGCTTTTTGTAGCATGGCTTATTCTTTGACATTGCCTACATATTTTGACCAGGATCAACCAGATATGGAAAGAAAGTTTTTCGAAAAAATTTTCTAATATGTCGACTAAACCCTATCCCCTTTTGACTTTTAAAAAAAACTCACGCAATAACGGCGATGACGATCGTAATGATGCTGATGATCAAAACAGTTGTCAGCATGATTGAATAGAGATTAGAAAGCAATGAATAGCATAGAAATCGAGAGGGGAAATTTTAGGATTCGAGAATTTGAGCAATTCGATATTCTAGACAAAATGCGGAGCTATTTTCGTCAATAAATCATACAAAATGAGAGGGAGATTCTAGGGGGATTGTGTACGACAGAGAAATCCGGGGAAAACGTCAAGGCAATTCGTTGACGCTTTTGATAGAATGCAATTCATGGCGTCGTTTATAGGAAAAGAGAAACTTCAGAGCTCAAAGAGTAAAAGAAAAAGAAGCAAAGAAAGAAAAAAAAGGTGTCTATGGGGTTTAAAGTGATGAAACAAAAGCTTTAAACTGTTTAAATCGATCGAAATTTTTGAAGAAAAGTTTCTAAATTTTAAAAAAAAAAGCTAGAATTTATTGAAAATGTGAAAAAAAATATAAATTATACGAGAAATATGGAAATCTTTTGATGTATAATATTTATTATATAAACAAAGCTTAAAAGCTCAATAATTGCGCTAGACGAAGACGAATTGCGCTAGACGTAGCGCAATTGTTGAGCTTTTAAGCTTGTGTAGTATAATTGGAAATTATTGACAATATTTTTGCAAAAATTTTTTGCTAAGATTCTGAAAATGCGTGTCTAGGGGTTATTTTTGACGCTGATCACGAAATACATGGTTTTAGGCTAGATTTCTGCACGGAAAACTTACACGAAACGTGAAAACAGCCATTTTTTGACTCTGCCGCCCTTTACTAAAATAGCTGTAAAAACTTTTAGAAAAGAGATATCTCAAAACGGTTTTTACCAATCGATCCGTCTTGAATTCAGCTTTAGGATGAGCTATAAAACGTCAAAATTCGACAAATTTAAGGTACTCTCCCAAAAGATCAGAAAGGACTTTTCCATGAACCCAATACTTCTAGATTGCCATAGTAAAAAGTAGATTGGGAAGGTATAACGGTATTGATGTATAGGGAAAAAAAAAATGGGAAGTATAACGGTAAAGTACCGCTTTCCCCTTTATCGGATGGTAACAAATTTAGTATTATGGTGACGAAAATCTCACTTACGGTGCAGTGGACACAAGCTATTCCCGGATCGATCCAATTTCACTCGGACACAATGGATCAAGATTTTATGCATACTGATCAGTTTGTTATTGGTTATTAATTAATCTATGGAATATGAAATTGATTTTTGTGCAAATTCACCAAAGAGTTTCTGCGTCTATGACTTAAATTCGCTTGTTTGGATTGGATTGGATTGGAGCTTGAAAATTGGAAATTATTTTCCAAAATAATTGATCGAAAATCATTTTTTTAAGCAAAAATACTTCAAAATTTGATTAAAATTTGATTTTTTTTCATTTTCTCTTTTACTTTTTAAAGATTTTTCATTGATTAAAAGGATTTTGTGAAAAATAAAAACATTTCTTTCTCTTTACTCACCTCTTACAAGTCTGCCTCTCATTCTTCTCTTCTTTCCCCTCGATTTCCCGGTCATCTTCAAACGACAAATCCGAAATATTCTCAATTTTTCCATTCTCGTTTTGTAGGAGAATATTTGGAGGCCCAATTTTAGCGATAGCTTTCTCGAGGAGGGCCTCATTTTCCGACGAAAGGCCCATTCTTCTGAAAAGTTTCAAAAAGAGAAATGAAAGAGTAATGAAAGAGTAATATTGTAATGCAAAAAACTGTAAAATCCCATTATTATCAGGCTACAGTATACAGGTACGGTAGGTCCATTATTATCAGCCTACAGACAGTTGAAAGCTACTGCAAAATTCCAGGTTATTGTCTTGCTACAGTGCACCAGACTATATTCATCCAGGAATGTTAAAGGAATTCCTGAATGAATATAATCTGGTGTACTGTAAGCAAGACAATAACCTGGAATTTTACAGTACCTTTCAACTGTCAATACTTGAAAAGCGATTTAAAATAAAGAGCATTTAGTTCATTGTTCATTTTGAAAGTCTTTTTTTGAAAGTATCGTCTATTATATATATATGTTGTGTCCGATTTAGATTTCCGTCCGATTTAGATTACAGTCTATATCGGACGTCCGATTTAGATTCAATCTAAATCTTATATGGATTGAACAATAATATAAACATGCTTAATATATGTTCTTAAGCGTTTTCTGTAGTTTTCTGCATTTTTCAAAGGTCTTTTATTGATTACAGTCTATATCGGACGTCCGATACAGATCGAACAATAATAAACGTGCTTAACATATGTTCTTTGAAAATTTCTTTGAAAAGCGCAGAAAATTGCAAAAAAACGCTTAAGAACATATATTAAGCACGTTTATTATTGTTCGATCTGTATCGGACGTCCGATATAGACTGTAATCTAAATCGGACGTCCGCGATAAGTTCAATCTAAATCGGACGTCCGATTTAGATTGAATCTAAATCGGACGGAAATCTAAATCGGACACAACATATATATAGATACTTTATTCAGGACCTGAGATAAAGTGCGCTGGATTTAAGATTAAAACACATGAATTCATACACATAACACGAAAAGGGCCGATAAAAAGAAACACGGTATAATATATGTAAAATGTGGGTAGCACAGATAACGTCAAGGATCCACTAGAGCTTCAAGATCAAGATCATCTACAGATAATTTAAAGGTTTCGAGACTATTGGACTCTCTCAAAACTCTGGGGAGTCGATTCCAAATTCTGGCAGTTCTTATTGGAAAAGAGTTATAAACAAACTTATTGGAGGTGACTGGAATTTCTAAAACGAAAGAACCTCTCCTTGAACTAACCGTGGGATTAACTTTGAATAAATCTAGAAAATAAAGCAAGACAATAACCTGGAATTTTACAGTACCTTTCAACTGTCAATACTCGAAAAGCGATTTAAAATAAAGAGCATTTAGTTCATTGTTCATTTTGACTTTGAAAGTTTTCTAGGTTTTCGTCATTACATCAAATATTTGATTAAATAGGATTATTGGATTACTGGAAAAGCTAATTTTGAAAAAAAAACTAAAAGATTAGTGCTTTAAAATGTGTTCAGTGACTATTTTCACTCCTCTTTTTTGGTCCCCCAAACTAATCCCGCCTGTAATTTTTTTTTGCATTGGCCGAATTTCCGTGGAAACGAACTTTGGCCGGAGTGGGGTGAATCTGATGATTTTCGAGAGAAAAAGGAGGAATTTTTGATTTCGATGCTGATTAGGCGAGAAATTTGGTTTGGTCCAAAATTGTGCTGCTATTTCGGATTGGTTTTGAAATTTTTAGCAAGAGTGTGTAAAGCAAGTTGCGTCTTGTGTCTCATTATCGTACGCTTAAATAAAAGTAATCAGTCAAAAATACCTGAATATTATACAAATTTAAAATAAAAACAAGGAAAGCCACTTGAAAATAAGTTCTCACTATCAGAAAATTTTGAAAATTGGTGAGAGCAACAAGACGAGTGATGGTCATACTTCTTGGCGGAGAGGGGAAGTAAACAAACTAGGCGGAAAAGAAAGGAAAAGAAAGGAAAAGAAGGGAAAAGAAATGAAAAGAAATGAAAAGAAATGAAATCTTTTTTTGGTCCTTGTTTTTAATAGTGAAGATAAAGAGAATGGGTGATAGATTGAGCACCAAAAAGCTTAAGAAAACAACTCACCAACAAAGAATTGGTAAGTGGATTAAATTATTAAACAAGGAGATAAAGCTCAGTAAAAAAGGAATTCTTTTTGGTTCTTGAGTTTTTATTTTCTTGATGAGGGGTTAAGCCGGGTAAATTATTTTTTCGAGTAAAATTTCGGATTCCTCGCCCCCGAAAACGCTCGAGTACAAATTTTCAGCTTTCTAGCTCACTTCTTTGTAATTTTACGTTAACGTAATTTGTATTGTCGCATAGGCGTGACAGACAGACAGACAGACAGACGGACAGACAGACAGACAGACAGACAGACGGACAGACAGACAGACAGACGGACGAATGGATGGACGGATATAGTAGATTGTAAGATGAACCAGGAAATTTTTATGAATGTAAGCAACCACTTAGTCTCAATTCGAAGCCCACAAAGATTCCATAACTGGCCTCGAAATTCGAATAACATTGCATTCACGTGCAGTCTAAAATACTTATAAATAATAAAATAAAGTATAAAGAAAACCTCAAAAATTCGAATTCCGAGTCTCTACCAGAAGAAAGGAATCAATCCAGTTAGTCCTTTTTTTCAACATCGCTTTCGGCAGCCTTATAGATTCTTATATCATCCGAAAAAAATGTTTGCCTAAAGCATTGCATAGTTCAAAAGATAGTAGAAAATGACCTTCTTCTCCCTAACGTTGTTTTGATTGATAAACAAAACAATATCGATGAAACGAGCAATCTCTAAAGGCGAGCCAGGTTTACACTTTGGAGCCACAATATCGAAGGCTTCTTCCATTAAACGTCCATTTTTAATTTGCGCCTTCAGTTTCACATAGCTGGGGCCATTCTTTTCCAGCTTGGCTCCATTCCGACCGAATCTGAAATAAAATCGCAACCTAGTTGTTTTAGCATACTTAGTAAATTCTAACCTTTCCCCCACTTTCATCCATTCATTCTTCTCAACCAAAAGCGTCCGAGATTCATTGAAAGCATCTGGATATGCGTCTTTCAAGTCATTCCAAAGCCAACGTCTTTCTGATTTTTTGTGATAAATGCGTTAACACTGTAGGCTAATCGTTCTAAAAGTTTGACTATGCGAAGTATGCTCTTCTTACTAACTGTAAAATATATTGAAATGCAAGCTTCTTCATCTTCAGGCGTCAATGGAGAGTCTTTGTATTTGTCAAATATGTGGGATTATAGCATTGACTGCTAAAGATGTCCGATGAGGCAAATCTACGCATTCGTGGCCAGAAATTCGTCTCTTCCGTAAATTTCTTTATCTCAGTCCGCTCTACCACATTGATATAGGATTCCAACTACAGTACGATCCAAAATTGCATCATCAGACAAATTATGCTGCTTTCGGAACGATTCCCAATTTCGTTTAAGAATTTCTTCTTCTTCCGGTGTGTAGAATTTCTGTGGTGCAACGTCCATTTTGTTCGAGCCGTTCCCTATGAACTGGCAAAAAAGGTCGGGGCTCGGTGAAAAAATTTCCGTTATTGTCATGGATGCCTTATTCCTGCATATTATATCCACGTACTCCTCGCTTATTGTATATTTTCTTCATCTAAATAAGAAGGCTTGAATCCAATGCCACAACAGCATGCCCTATGCATAATGATGTAAACCGTTTGTCTGTCGTTCACCCAGGCTTAAAACAATTCCTTCTACTAATGTTCAAAACAGCATTTTAAACTAGAAATAGCCACTCCTAATTGATCCGTCAGAAGTATTCTACAAAGAGTCAGAAATAGTCACGATGCTTTTTGTAAAAGAAACTTTTGTAAACGTATCATTCGTCACTGAACACGCGTAATTTACCGGTACACGACAAAAAAGAACAAACACACAGACGGTAGATAACAGTTGACATAAAGCCAACAAGGAGAGACTCGTTGAATATTAACAAGACTAGGGAAGGGAGACAAATGCTACCTTTTTTGCGCACCTGGCCAGTTAGCGCACCTTCTTTTTCACATCGAAAAAAGCTAAAATTAACCAATTTCTATTCCAAAAGTTGTTTTTCTAGGTAATTTTAGGGCGTAGGATCCGAAATTTGATCAGAGCTCGTGGAACCAATTGGAAAGATAAAACGGGTAGGGCAAATTACAGAAAATTGTTGATTTTCCCTATGTATAACTCCGTCCACTTGCTTCTACAAGCTCTGATATGTCAAAATTTGGATTCCACGCCCTAAAATTAGCCAGAAAAACAACTCGGGAATAGAAATTGGTGAAAATTATTTTTAGAGCTTTTTAAAAACGCGGAAAAAGGTGCGCTAATGACCCGGGCGTGCAAAAAAGGTAGCATTTGTCCCACTGCCCAAGATTATGAGAAAATAGCAAAAAAATCATTTAACACAAACAATGAAGACCAGAAATAGAAACAATGATCAGAGAACAGAAAATCTAAAGAAAAATTTCTTCTTAATTGGTATCCATCGAGAGGTCGCCATAATAAACGCGTTGTGAATCCTTCTCAATGGCGGTCAGCATATCCTGAGAATAAAATAACATTGTTATTTAAAATTCAGTAGCTTTGCAGGATTCTATTTTTAAACTTATCATATTCCAAAGTGACTTTTAGAATTACCTTTAACTCAGCAGTCCCCTTGATTGTGTGGTGTATGTCAACAAGCTGAGGTTGACGGGAACCTTCGGGCATCTCCTGAAAAAACGCTCATTAGTAAGATTCAAAACACTTATACCTGAAGAATCAACCAAGTTCGAATAGCGGCACGTTTCAGGTCATCATACTTGTCGAAGTCTTGTTTCACAGCATTGGTTTTTGCTTTGAACAACAGTTGTGCCTGTTCAAAACGTATAAAGTTATTACTAGAAGGCCTACCTTCAAAGGTTCACAGATGCGATCAAGCCGTTGCATCACATGTGCCGGTGTTAAAGTGGCCAATTTTGAGAGATTGACATAGGCAAGAAGACGAATATCGTGATGAGAGTCCTAACATATTGTATCAAATATCAAATCAAAAATATTTACCCGAAGTCCATCTTCGAGATGAGAAATGAACTCGAAAACGTCCAATTTTTCAAGGCAACTGCCCAACAACGTGAACATGCTAAATAGAGATAAACTAGAGATTGAAATTAACGAACCATTCGAAGGCAGCCTTTCGCAAATCCAAACCGTTATCTACTTGGTGCTTGAAAGGCCCCATTTCGACCTAAAGTCAATGATATCTGAGAATAGTTAATCAATAGTATTACCTCCTTGATGAGTTCTTTGCGGACTTTTGTTTCGTGATAAATAACCGCCATGATCTTATCAAGATGATTTCGAACCTAAAACAAAAAATACAACGCCCAATTTCGTCGTCCCTACCAAAGCAGGTTTACTATGTGCAATGCAAGAAACGGTATTGAAGACATGACGTCGTTGATTCAGATCTTCTTCATTGACCAAAGCCAAAACATTTGGAATCCACTAAAAACAGGAAACCATAACCAGTAACTGGTGAAAACTATACCACAGCCAGCTGGTCATCGACGGGCTTCTTCTCAACTGAGACCATGTATTTAATCGATGTAATAACCACCAAGCGAACATTTGCCGACGAAGAGTTGAGTTGTTTCTAAAAAAAAGCTAAATTTTTTAAAAATGGCAAAATATTCTCCCCGGCCGGGAATTGAACCCGGGTCTCGCATGTGACAGACGCGGATACTAACCACTATACTACCGAGGATACACGCTGGGGTCTTTCCAAGAGCGTTTTATGGAAAAGAAGGAGAAAGACTAGGCCATTGCGAGAGGCAGAGACGCAAAAAGCAAAAGGGCTGCTTGGCAATAAGGGAATCATCAGTCACCAAAGCTTTTTAAGAAAAACAAAATAAAAAATGCACCTTCAACTCGCCAACCAACTCAGGTTGAAGAACACACAATTTTCCAATACACTCCGAGACAACATTTCGAGTACTTTCTTCGGCCGATTCGGCGTGAATGAGCAAAACGTTCCAGATCTAAAGTTGACAGTTGAAAAGAAAAAGGGGAATTGCATTACCTGTACGATGTGCTGTTGGAAGGCTTCATAAGATTCCTTTGATTGTCCTTCACATAAAATGATCTGCAAAAAGCACCGATAAATTATTAATCAATTTATAGTCAAGGCTACCTCTTTAATAGCATGCAGAAGCAAGAATTGTCGTTTGCTTTCCTGCATTTGTTGAAGAATGAATGGAAGGAACTTCGGCAAATTTCCAACCTAAAACCATTTTGACGAGGGAAAACTTTTGAAAGATTTTACCGCCATTCCACCAAGAGCATATGAGGCACCAGATTTTAGATCTTCATTTTGCGAATTGAATGCCTCCATGATTAACGGCTCAGCTCTAAATTCGAAAAACTTAACGCACACTTAAATTGAAACCAACTTGATCGCATTAGACGCATAGACTTCACTGCATCTCCGTCCCAGTTCACCCAATGAAAGAAGTGAAAAGAGGCGAATTGCATCCGTTGATGAACGGTTAGCCAATTGTTCACTGAGCTTTGTCGCCAAATGAACAGCCTAAAATTTATCATAATACAGAAAGTTTTTTTCGGTATTTTGTTCCAAATTTATACCTGTTCCAAATTTTGAGAGGCCGAAGCAACAACGGCAGTAGTGGCGGAGATAGCGGAGAATGCCTGGCGTGGAAGTTGAGAGTCGTAGACTGGAGCGGTAATCTGATCAAGAAGATCCTAAACACCAATAATTAAAGATTTAGCGTAAGTTTTTAAACCTCAAAATGTGGCTTCCCGGGAACATTGCTGCGCACAAGCGCCTCGATCATTTCCAACGCAGAGTTGAGCAGTGGTCCCTAAACATTCCAAGGGTAATTTGAAATAAAAATCTAGAGCGCAAACAATTTAAAAAAAATTTACCTGCAACACAGCTGCTTTCATTAATTTCACGAATTGTCCGAGCACATTTTGAACATGCGACGCTGCAGCATTTGGATACTTCGCAAAAGCCACTAAATGGAGTTTAAATTTTTTTCGCAAAAGTAACTATTACAAGCATAGCATCGTAGAGCAAATTTAGCCACAAGGAGATCATCGTTGTCAATCAAAATTGCAATTTCACCAAGAACGGTGACTAGGGCATCAGATTCAATTCCGGGATATTCGTAGCTCTTGAACAAAGTGGCCAATAAGGAGAGAATGGCAATCTAAATGGAGTTAGATTTAGGCGTAAAACAAGCAAAACCTTAAGAGATTGCAAGTTTTTGCGGAGAGATTCAGACAAAATCGGCAACAGAGCACTAAATGTCGACGGATTAAGGTCGATTTTAAGCGGCGATTGAACGACAACTTCGAGTGCTCGAATTGCGTAAATCCTCGTCACCTCGTTACGGGAGCGTTCAATCAACAAGCTGATAATTTCGGGAACCTAAAAGAACAGTTTTTTTATTACAATTAATTTTTTGAGCAGGATGGCTCTTAATTATAAAATTATAATACGGTCAATTTCACCTTTGATTGCAAATAGTTTCCACAGAAAGCAACGAACAATCCAGCAGCAATAATGGCGCGTTCTTTTAGTTCCTGAACATTTTGATGTTTTTTTACAAATTTATCAAACCAAGTCCAAATCAACGGCTTTAAGTCGTGGCAAAGCTGCATTGTAGATTTTATCGATCTCAAGTCAGCCTCTTTTTTGCGGCCATCAAAACAATCAGTTTGTCGAGAATTGCCAAGCCTTCCGAAGCCACCTAAAAACATTAAATTAATGGTTTGATTACATGTGCTGACCTTGTAGAATCCATCACCAATAGCATCTTCTACCGAGTTTACAAAAAGACGTAAATGAGGCAACAAGCATTCTTGGGCATGCGATCGGAAAATCTTAAAATTGCTTGTAATGGCGTTAATAGGTAAAACACAAACAGTGGAAAAAATTGGATAGCGTCAATCTTCATTTGTGAGGTGGTGGATTTCTCTTTGAAAATGTTTTCCACAGAGGGCAGAATGGCAAGAAATTGATCAGACAGTGATCCGGGCAAAGTTCTAAACGAAAACTCATAGCATACAAAAGCAACAAAAGACCTACTTGACAAGTGGGTAAGCAGGGCAAGAGCTATTGTTTTTGTTCGAGTGCTGCGATTTTTGAGCAATTTTGCGACGGCTTTGGTGATAGTAGGTACTTGGTGTTGAATAGCTAAAGATTACCAAGTTAGATAGTCTTTAACGAAAAACACACCTTTAAGAAGCTCCAACTGTTCATTCGACAAAGAGCCAGCTGCAAAGTGGATGTATCCGATAACCTGATTCTCTTTGTTTTCGCCACCCTAGAAGTACACTGAGTAAAAAGATGGGCCAACAAAACTAACCGTTGCACTTGGTGTAGATGGAATGAAAGTTGAAATTTGACGGAGCAAAGAAATGTAGGCTCGCACGACATCAATTCTAAAGAATCATAACTTTAGCAAATATGACCATTGGGCGCATCGCCATAGAATTCTAATCAACCAATACAGCTCCCCTTACCGAACAGTTTCTTCTCGCTCCTTCAACCGACCAATTAAAATTGGTCCAAAAGCGGTAATCGAATGTTTCATGTGTTCACGTCGAGAAACAATCTACAAAAAAGGATTTTTGACAAACCTACGCTAAACTTACCAAAGCCTCAATAACTTTAGCAGCAGAGCGTCGAACTTTCCACGACACATCATCGTCGTCCGAAAAGTCTTGGTCATCATCTTCGTCTACAAAAATATGATAATGCTCCAAGAAAGCTGATTACCTTCGCCATCCATCCCTTCATCATCACTGTCACCGCAATAATTTGGATCGTGACAGAGAAATTCGAGCGCAACTTTTTTCAATTTTCTCCACGAACGGCGCAATCTCGGAAGGACATCTCAAGATGAAGACTTCGATCGTCTAAAAGAAACTTTCAAAAGAAGAACAGGTAAAACACACCTGTTGGACAGCCCCCTTTAATTCCGTCGTCATTCGATTGTTTGCAAAACTTCAGCAAAATATCGACAACCTAAACATCTGTTGAAAAGCATTGGACTCAAACCAAACCGATGAAAGATGCCTGGCGAAGCGAGCAGGATTTGCTTTTTACGAGAAGCAAAGGCCGTAGACAACGTTTGCACAGTATCTTCATTTGGTGAGTTGTTAAGCCTAAAGTTGATTGTTAATAATTCGAAGTGTCTTAACGGTTTAACTATAACATTATTGTCGTTAAGCAAGTCCACTCGTCAATACTTACTTGTCCAACAAGAAGGCAGAGATCTCTTCGAATATTTCGGCATCACAGCACGAGCAAAGTGATCCCAAGCAATTGATGGTTCGTTTGCGGATGGCTTGCCGAGTTGAAGAAGCTAGGACTTGCAGCAAAACATCCTTGATCTAAAAAAAATAAATTACATACCACCCTCGATTTTGAATGATAATATAAAAAACATCGGTAAAGCTATTGAAACTTACAAAATTGTGGTGTTGAGCGATGGTTCCTCCATATCTGAAAAGCACATCTGCCAAAATATCAAGCATCTCCATGCGAACACCAGCTTCGATTTCTGGATTGTCTCCTAAAGTTCAAAAATTATGTGCAAACTATGAAAATACTAACTCAAAACTTTCGATAGTTGTGGAGTAAGTCGGCTGACAATATTTGATGCCTGACTGGAGCCCGTTGGCAACTCCGAAACAACAGTCTAATAAAGTATTAACCTTTTACACCTAAAAGTTTTACAAATTTATACCTTCAAAGCCACAGAAGAAACGTCTCTTAGCTCGGGCTTTTGCGCGGTCAAATTTGTGCAAAGCGAATCTACGACGAAGTCAGCCTAAAATCATGTATTCAGAGTTCTATAGGTCTACAAAGCAACCTGGGGGTCTTTCGATCGAGCAACAACAGTGGCTAAGCAACGCACCGTCAAATCCACTGGATTTCGCCGTTTTTGTCCTCCAACAACTTCAGCAATTTGCGAGTAACCTGTACAATTAGTTTATGCAACCATTTCCTATAAAGCTAACTTTCTTTTCAGAGTCTTCATCGAGTTTCAAGTTGTTCTTCTGGAGCTCGCTCATCAAATCGCTTGCTGCCATGAAGCGAAAGTCCTAAACTTCAAAATAATTGCATAGTTTAAAAAGTGCCTAATCTTTCAATTTCTTTTTATGATTTGACCCTAGCATGATTCTTCCGGTTCTATCTTGAAAATAAAGAACGTCAACTAGAGCATACACTTCTGTTTTATAAATTTCAAACCTTGCTTTCTTTTTATTAATTCCAAGCTCAGAGCCTAAACACAGCTCTCATTAGTAACTCGATATAAAGTAACATGGGGTGCATTGCATTAGATATAGCTTTATGAACACCCTGTTTATCTTCAGCTGCAAGCAAATAACCGTTACCTTATCGGGCGAATCCATCTTCTCCAACCATCCTGCGACTTCATAGGCGGTCGTCGTCATTGCTCAACTAAAACAGAAAGATTACACAATTTATCAAGGTTCAAAAGCAACGAATGCTTGAAAAACACATCAAAGGGGCGATGTTTCTGAAGATTTGAATTTTTAGAGTTACACAATTGGGGAGATCATCAATGATTGGTGCAATAAACTATCAGGGAAAAACGACTTCAACTTAATAAATGAATAGAAGTCTAAAAAGAATCATTTTGGTTGGATAACATCGAGAAAAATTGTCTCCTTTCGCTCCAAAAAACGCCTCTGGACACTTGATTTTCAAATACAAAAGAAAAAAAGGCTGCTCCTTTTCCGACAGTTTTATGAAGAGACAAAAGAAAGTGTTCTCTTTGATTATTTGGTTTTGGCGTTATTAACTCAAGCCCTACAAAAAGTAAAACACTAAACTAGGGTTAAAAATATCTTTTCGAGGCAACAAAACGGGGATAGGTAATTTCTGCCATTTTATTTGACAACTCGCCATAACTTTCTTCTAAATGGGCCAATCTTTTATGATTTTGATGTCATTTTGTTGCATTATTGAGATCTACAAAATGAAACCAAAATCATAAAGATTGTTTCACATAGAAAGGAAGTTATGGGCGAGTTGCGCAAAAAATGGCGGCAATTAGCCTACCCCAACAAAACATTAAAAACAATTGGAGCGAAAATTTTAGAGCTTACAAGCTTAGCTCTAGCTTGTTCGCTGAACCAAACTTTTAAAATTTAGAACGAGTAAATGATCAAAAAGTTTTTTCTTGATCGTTTCTTTAGTAATTCTGTTACAGATATTTAGTCACGTGGTTGAATATCTTTTGATGAACCGTCGTACAAATCCTGAAATAATTTTAATTCTTTCTAGAGATTGTCTTGTAAATGTTTTTCCATTGGAACGTTTTTCAGATTTTTCAAGTAGTCGGCTCTCGACGTAATGGGCGTTTTACCCGCTTTTCTCCCAAATAATTGTTAGGTAGCCTGAAGCAGAACAGATATTTTTGCACACCAAGTGATTTTAAATAATGGATAATGTTCGTTGTTCCATGTACTGAATTTAATATGTAAAACTGGGGGTGGGACAAATGCTCCCTTTTTGCGCACCTGGACATTTGCGCACCTTTTTTTTTGCCTTTTTTACGCAACTTAACGCTTTTCCGCAGTTTTTGCCTTTTAGCCCAAATTTGACGTGTCAGCGAGGTCTGATTTGTCGAAATTCGGAATCTACGCATACGATTCCCTTCTATGAAAACATTTTTGAAGCTCTACGACCTCTCCTAAGGCCTTTTCCAGCAAAGCGTCAAAAAAGGCGCATTTGTCCCACCCCTGTAATAGTACACAATTCCACGCCTTTATACGAGATAACTACAGCAAAACATAAAGTTGTTCTAGTCTGTAAGTAGTTTTTCAACTGCTAAAATTTGTTTGGGTACGCTCTGACTTTATTAATCTAAGATTGAATGTACAGACAACAAAACACAACGAGGATAGCATACGATTAGACACAGAAACCGCAACCTTTTCCGGGCAATTCAAGTACATCATATCACGATAGGTGATACAGTAGCCACAGGCGGCACGGAATTTGCATTCGGGCATCAAATCGAGACAAACTGAAAGAATTGGCCTGGCTATCAAACCTTAGGTGATTAAACTTACTGGTTTGTGCCTTGATAAGAGATGCTTGTTGAGCCAGTAAGGCGCTGGGTGGCAACTTGCAAATAACCACAAGTAACCGGGCATTGTTGGCGCATTAGGCTCGGTATTTCGGGTTGTAACACAAAGCCCTCCTCGATAAACAATCACTTTGACGAGTTTTTGCGTTGATGTGATCAAAGCAAGCTGAATTCTTTACTCAATCTCATTCTCAGATAACTAACTCGTTACTTTTTAATTTAACGTTTCAAGTTAGTGATTTATTGTGAGTTTAATATTGGAAAACGAAAATTCTCCGTAACCCCATTTTGATAGCGGGATATAACCGAAATGAGACAAGAAAGTCTAATCGAAGTGTGCCCAAATTTCTTCGCGAACGAGAGTTCCACTAACTTGATATCGTGCATCGGTTACAAGTTCGCGGACATTGTTCTGTCATCACGGTGTAGTAACGCGGATCGTTGCATAGTGATCTAGAAAATTGGGTTTTGGTCGTCTTCAGCTAATTTTTACCGTAAGATTTTACAGTAATCATTTCAAGCTTCAGCTAATTCTAAGCCAAGCCAGCTTCAGCAACATTTTACAAAGCAATTTAGTTAGCATATTCATTTTTACCGTCTAGCCGAGCAGTCAGAAACCCCGGTCATTGGATTAATTGCGTCGACACAAGTGGGTGCCACGGTGGGTACAACTAGAATAAACTGTGTAGAAATTAACACTGAAAACAATAAATTCTAGTAGAAACAGTTTACTGTAATATACAAACTTACTGTAACTCTCCCAAAAACTCAACTTACAAATATTTATGCATCCATTAGTCGTTATTGCGTCGATTCGGGAAAGGATTGCAATGAAAAAAGAATAGAATTTTTTCGCAAATACATTATTTGATTCATGTTAGAATACTTGTAAATTGCAGGATTTTCAAATTTAGAATTCGAAATTTGAAAGCTTTTGTGAATTTGGACGATTTGACGGGAATTTCGCCCAAGGCACTCTGTTTAAACAAGCGGATTTTCGCGCGTTCCATTTTCTCATTGTTTCGATGGGATTTGATTATTTTGCAGAAGAAACAACAAAATAAAGGGTAGTTTGATTTGAATTTTTGCTCTTAAATGTTGCATTTTTTTTTTGTATAATTTTCTTGAAGATTTGACGGGAATTTCGCCCAAGGCACTCTGTTTAAACAAGCGGATTTTCGCGCGTTCCATTTTCTCATTGTTTCGATGGGATTTAAATTTAAACGTTTATTCTATAAAAATCACTGAATACTTTATTAAAAGTGAATACACAAAAGGAAAAAGCATAGAGAAAAGTGGAATGATCAGGCTACTCATAAATGAGCAAATCCCCTTTTTCAAACTGATATTTTTTCTTATCCTGGTCCAGCCAACTGAAACGGGTACTAAAGAGATTGATTTGTATGTGGTTAGTAATGAAAAATGAAAATTTAACTACAGATAAATGATGTAATAATGATAATTAGCAAATAGTAAATAAATGATAATTTATTCATCATATTTATTTCAAAATTAGTGACTAACCTTGGACTTTAGAATGACAAGCGTTTTGATGAGTCCGGTGAGCGTTCGCTTCTCGAGTAACTGAAAGTTATTGTAAGTTATAGTAACTGTAAGTTATAGTTAACTGTAAGTCAAGAAAACAAATCTTATTTTACCAAAATAACCTTTCCAGAGAGTTTTTGGTTATTCTTGAAATCTTTAATTAAATCAAAATATCTTTGAACATTTTAAGATCCAACCTCATTTGGCGGGAATAAGTCAGCTTGTCGGAGTCCAAAATTACAGATGCTTTCCTGAATTTTTAGTTGACTTTCTTTATGTACTTATGTACTTTACTACTTTCTTTACTTATGTACTTTACTACTTTCTTTACTTATATACTTTACTACTTTCTTTTACTCCAAGTCTAATGTTTAATGTTAATATATTCAATTTTTTTCTGCAATACCTGGAAAGTTTGTCACATTCTCCGTGGCGGCGAAGCGATTTCTTGTGGCTAATCGTACGGTTCGAGAGCGGTGTGGAGTTGAACCATTCAAAAACCTAAAGCTTTTTTGAGTTCTATTTTCAAATATCTAAGAAAAATGATGATATTTATTCGAGTTTTCTAGAGTAATGTTTTTCATTTTCACTCACTGCATAGAGTCACTCCATCGTGTAACTAGTTCTAGAGCTACCTCTCCTTTGATCATCCGAGACTTCGCATCCGGAAATCTAAAGTAGGTGGAAGAGTTTTGACAATATTTTAGTATTAAGTTGTAAATATGTATTAAAGCATCAGAATGTAGTTTCAACAAACTTCCCCCAACCTTGCCCACCCAATTGAGTGATAAAGTTTCCTCTCCTCACATCAATACGTTTTCCCTTGAATCTAAAAACAGAAATTTGTTACTAGATACGTTTTTAAAAGGCTAGCTAATTATACTAATGAAATGTTTTTTTTGATAATCACACCAACCCATCCCATTCTATATCGTCAGATCCCTTTTCAGCCATAGGTAAACCGCCGATTAGAGTGCTGTGGCGATGTGAGTCGGGATAGGGGGATTTCCAAGTGAAATGTTTCCAACCAGCCGCCTATTCACTGGAAAGTTTACTCGGAGATATGAATATAAAATGTTTACTGAAATCAATGCTCGAATTCAATCAATGCTTTAGTACTCAATTTCCTTTTGAATTTCAAAGAGTAAAAGCGTAAAGAGTAAAGAGTAAAGCGTAAAGAGTAAAGAGTAAAGAGTAAAGCAAATTCCAAAAAGTCGTAATTTAAACCCCTGCAACATTATGGCAATTAAATAAGAGGGGATTCTCGAATCTTTGATGTTCAGAAATATTGTGGCAATACAAAAAGAGCATCACCATCAAATCGTTAGAAGAGAAATGTGTGGGTGGAGATCTTTTTTCGTCTTCTTTTTTAGATAGACTTGAAACGCTCGGCTCTGGTCTTGAGTGGGTTTTCGAGATAATTTAGAAAAAAAGGGTCAAGAAAGTGAGTGAGTGACTCGCACACAAAACAACAGACACCCAGTGAAAAAGTCTAAATGACACGAATAGCTCATTTATAGAAGAAGTTTTGCTGTGTTCTTTTATCTAATGAGTAAGCTTGAGCCAGGAATGTTTAAGTCTGGCTTCCAGATGTTGTAAGAAAGCTAGGGCGTCAACTAAAGGACTCAGGGTCAGGACTCAGCAGAGGGCCAGGGCTAAGTAAGGCCGGGGGTGCAGGCACCTGACGTAATGCTTAACTGCTCAGGAGCTAAAATATAAGTTTTTAAGCGTACGAAACTTTAATATATTATAGATGAGTGAAGTGATTCGGGTTTCCCCACACTCGGCAATGAAAGCAAGTCAAGGAGGCAAAGATTCGGAAATTTGAGAGAAAGAGAAAGGGTGTGTGAAGAAATGCAAACAATTGCACAAAAAACAGAGACAGAGAGAGAAAGATGGCCATCACCTATTTACTCATCCAAATCAGGAAAAAGGGATCTAATGCAAACTCTCACTGATATTCGCAATGGATTTCCTTGGCTTTAAGGCCAGAGAACCAGAGGAGATTCAGGAACTCATTACATATTTAAGTTGTACTTGAAACGTTTATTTCATTACTGCAATTTCAATTTCAATACTTTGAAAAGTTTATTCATTATTTTCAGCAATTACTTATTGCCCTTGAGAGTTATAAAAACCAAGTAAAGAACCCAAAAAAGCTACTTTGTTTATGTATTGTCTGGTCTGGCAGTCCGGCCCATAGCACAATAGATCTGGCAAATCACTCAGCTGGGACATAAGTTGTCAGAGACAGTCAAGTCAAAATTGCTGACTTTAGGCCAGATGCGTTAGACTTGCAAATCATTCAATGAACAAATTTGTATTTCGTTTCTTGAAAGATAAAACATTCAAGGAAATATGAAAGGAAAAGGTTTTACTTTTAAAACCCATCTCTGAAAGTTAAAGAGTCTTCTCTGCTCGGCCACTTCCCGGCACAGTCTTGTAATCCCTTCTGACCAATATTGCCTGTCCCATTCTCTTAACAAAGTGGCTAAAGAGGGCAAAAATTTACCAAATTTCTCTCCCAAACACTCAAAGCTTTATCACAAAAATTCTTTCAAATAACGTTATCTACAGGAACGATTGTGGTACCGAATTGATGAAGGCTTAACAAAAAAATTTGTTTAGAAAAACCCCGTAGTATCACAAAAATATAGTCATCAGCTCGAGGCATTCCATATTTTCTCGTGGGCTTTAACGGGGAAACAATTTCTAACAAAGCCTTTAGTGCTTTATAATGGGTAACCTGTGTTTTTCCAAGAAATGATGGATGAAGTCGGAGACCGAGTTGGAAGACAAGGAACTCCGCGAAGCCGGTTGAAAGTAATTATAAAAGCGGGAGAATTGGTAAAATTTTTAGATGAAGCCAGTTACAAATCTGACCTTTATCTTTAGAATCTTAATGCAAATGATTCAGGCTCATGAATAAATTGACTAATCTTTCACATCCATCTTGCTCAAACTCCTGTTAGTGGCAAGAGAATTTGAGTCACGAAGAGAGTCTCACTGTGAATGGAGCTGCTTAATCAATGTCGAGAGTTTAATGAAAATTGGCTCTTAGAGTGAATTCTTCTAAGTCCATTTCGCTAATAAAACTGGTTTGTCAAAACCAAGTTTAGGTATTAGTTGGTCAGTCGAACCAGTTTGTCTAAGAATACTTTACTAAAGAAAACAAAACGCTTTTCCTATCCATGAAAGAAGGAAGAGATCCCCTCCGGCACCACACCAAAGTGCCCGACGACCCAGCCGCCATCTCTTGACCTCAACCCCTGCCTGAAAAGGAAGCTTGAGGCCAAAGATACAAAGAATTACAAAGAATTCCGAGCCTAAAAGAACATCCCGACAAACTGATCTCACCTCGGATAGAGGTGAACAATCCCCTCTGGGCGAATTCTTTTTCGGGGATCAATGGATCGAGTAATGAGCGCAAGCCCTGCATGGTGTGGCTCAAGGAAGCCTCATGGAAGTGAATGGCTGACGAAAAGAAGCAAGTAAAGCGCGATAGCTTGTAACACTTTTATGAAAGTACTTAATTGAAAGAATTGGAACAGTTAAAAAGTCGATAATGTCTACCTGCTCTGAGTTCCTCCAGGTTTCCTCTTTGCAAACCTCTCTCGATACGGAATGAGCTCTGGCGCGAAAAACCTCGAGCCACCACACTCTGGAAAGTCGAAAATTTCGATTTTTAAAAGGAACTCAACTTAATAACTACTTTGAACACTTCAAGGATACGATTATCAGCTAAAAACAAATTCTCCCTTGCCTCAGAGTATAGCTCCACCATCCGTTCCACTAAAAGGGCGGAGGAAGCTTCTGTCTTTTCGTAGCAATCCAACCAAAGTTGCAGGAAATTTCCAGCTAATGTTCTGACTTTCAAAGCTTAGAATGATAAAGACATGTTGGAGCTAGTTTCCGGGTATTCTGTTAAGGGCCGAAATCTCGGAAACCTAGTCGTCACGCTGTAAAGTCCCCTGTAACTTATCCAGAGATAATATTTTGGCTAACTCTTTTATATCATTGTACAGAGGGACCTCTTTCTAGGCTTTTTAAATGATACCAAATAGAGCTGATCAGATTAACTGATTCATAAAACTAAGCAAATACTTTATCCGGAGCTGGATAACACCATTTGGTTAGAACTGGCCTGATTTCTTTGGACCTGGGATTATTCAACTGCTTCCTATTTGATAACATTTGAAAGCTTGAAAGTCTCGCTGTGTAATGATATAGAAAGTTAACCAAAATATTATCTCCTGAAAAAGTTGATAGGCCTCAAAAGCGTGACGACTCGTTCAAAACTCCCCGGATTCTTTCGAGGATACCCTGAAAACTACGGAGAGTCCACTCTCAAATTCACTGTTGAAATGTCAGTGAATCAAACCTTAAAGCTCTATTAAGATTTAAACGACTTCGGCTTGCCTCTGCAATCCCCGTCGAGCTCCAACAGGCTCAACTTTAAAGTTCGGCATTGATTTACTCTTCTACTTTTTTTTTACTGTTTTTACTCTATTTATTCTTTCAGAATAACCGGGAAAATTCACGCAAGACGCCGATTATAATTTCTAGTAAGTTTTCAAATTTTCTATAAAAATCCACCTAAATAATGTACGATCCGGCCATGGATCTCTGCCATGTTGTAGGTAAGCGGACTTGTAAAACACCCTACCTCACTCAGAACCTCCCGCTGGGAGAAAATCCTGACTCTGTAATTCTATATTCTTTCAATGAGAGACATCACAAAAATATAAATATGATAATCACTGAACTTCAAGGAATTCTTACCTTCTCCCTGACGATTGATACCCCAATATCAAAGAATCCAAAAAGACGAAAATTCAGTACGCGTGTATGGAGTCACTGAGACCTCGTTCATCAAACAATGTCTCGTAAAAAGAAAACCAAAGAATCTCATTGGTTTTATTCTCTCTTCTTTAAACATTTATGGCCCATACAACCTTTGAAACACCAAAACCACGATCGCTTCTTTGGGCAGAGCTCTTGGAGGGTTTTATTGGCGCTGTAGTCGACATAAAATAAAAGTTTCATATTGTGGTGGACCCGAAAAATTCTGGCGGGAATCCGATACTTATCTAGGAACTCTAATCTACGCAATAACAAAGGTGTTGTTTTGTAGTCAGTTCAGCATTTGCTTTGTAAAGACTTCTTTTTTAACCTCGAATTTTGCTAAAAATTCTTTCGCTTTACTCCGATAGATGGTCCAGATCTCGGCAGAATGACTGCATCTGAGTAGCCAGCCTCATTTCTTCCTGATCTTAACTAATGTAAACTAAGGCAAGTATTTGGTAAACTTCACTAGAAATTCTCAGGCAAAACATACATGAGATTCGAATCTGGATGAGAGATGCTCTGAGTGAGCCTGTAAACTCAGGCTAGGTCATCCCAGAGTCGAGAGCGGGTACGCCGGCCACCGTATTTCCCTATCAATACTGCACTGCAGCCGAGCTTCGAGCTTGATGACTATTTGACGGTTTCCAAGTTTTTACAGAAGCTCAGCACCCAATTCCTTTCGCACAAGATCTCACTGTCAGCTACATTTTCCGATCCCACATCAATAGGTCCTGAGAAACGCCTGAGGGAGATTTCGAGTAATTTAGGGGAAGCTTTGGGTACACTACTATTAGAGAAAATACGGTATATTATTCCAGGTTAGCTAGGATCAGACTGATCTATTTCCCTGAACATATCCCGGTAGAGCCGGGTTGATCAATTATTTTACAGTTTCCAAGTTTTCCCAGAAGCTCAACACTCAATCTCCCACAAGATCTGGATCGTCAGTACATCTCCGATCCCACATCAATAGGTTCTGGATGTAAACGCTCGGAGATTTCGAGAAATTTAGGTTTGGCTTAGGTGCACCAATACTAGGGGAAAATACGATAAGTTAACATCCGCTTCTTTTCGTTGCTTGCTGGTGGTAATCTACGAATTTTGCTCGTTCCTTGGCCGGGTTCTATTTGAAAAGCGTTGAATTTGCTTTATTCGATAGCACATGGATTTCGAGCTGAATGAAAGAAAGCCAAATGCTGAGCAAATAAACCCGATTAAGAAACAAGCAAAATACGTAGATTGCTACGGGAAACGGACTCAAGAGCCTACTAATCGAGTCAATCGTTTCCAATGTCCCATTCCGGATACCGATCAGCATGGAAATCGTGAAATTCTTGCATTACGTACGTGTTTTCGTTTAATTTCTTAACATTAATCGTCCTTCTCATCCAATAATGAATAGAGATTGTCGAGTGGGTGGGATCACCGTGCAAAAGATAGAAGAAAAAGCTTGCCGAATTCGCGCTCAATCACGACTGAAAGGCATAGAATGGAATGAAAGATTTTGGATGGATTCATTGGGGTTAAAAAAGTCTCGAAATCTATGTGTAGGTTGCTATTTTTATGGTTTAATCGATATTTCCGCACAAAAAGCAAATACCGAGCAATAAAGGCAACTATGGAGGCAGGCAGGAAAGCCAGCTAGGAGCAGAACTCTGTACTAAAATATCCTAAGCCTGTTAAGTTTAGACTAGAAAGCGTTTTTGAATATATGAAAGCTAATTTTCGATTTGATTCTCTTTTAATGTGCGAATCGCGAGGCGCAGATGGAAACGAAACTAAACCTTGTATTTGACTTCGTGATGAGAAATGTTTCATTCTTGGAAAAGAAATTGATATTTGTGTAAGAAAAGAGATAAATCATTGTTAGCTCTGACAAAAAAATCACTTTTTTTTGGTGAAAACTAAAAATAAATTCTATCTCTCGTATGTAACCTTTGTATTCCTCAATGTACAAGTTTGTTAACAGAAGGTTTTAAAAATCCAAACATTTATGGTATATTTCCTCTATGCAAAAACACCACTGAATCCAGCTTTTAAAAGGGAGAGATTTTAAAAGTGAGTTTTTAAAAGTGCACAATTTTTAACCCTCAACTGCTTAAAGCAACAAGCAAGTACAGCTTATTTATCTCTAACTTAAATCATTCTCCGTACCAGGTAAACTAATCGGAAACCACAAAACTGATTGTTTCCACCAGTGTCGCCCAATGGATCGGCTTTGGTGGTGAGGTTCAATTGGGAATTGGGGAATTGTTGAGGAAAAAAGGGGAGACGAAGGGAGAGCTTTAGTCTTATCCCCCTCACCAGTAACTAGCTAGAAAGGGGCTCAGTGGGTGATGCTTAAAAGGAGAAGCATTCTTCTTCTTTCTGCAAGTAAAAACCAATATGCCTTTCTCCTTAGAGTTACGATATTTCTTCTCCAAATATTATCGCTCTTGTTGTTCGGTGAATGCAATCTAACAGATAATTCACAAATTTCCTGACCTGTATAAATGTTTCTCTGAGAGCTAGTTCTTTAGTTTGATTGTTCCATACTCAGATCTAGCCTGTGGATTTCAGACCAAATTCTTCATAAAAATCAAGGAATTCGAACTTTTCAACTTCAATCAAGGAAACTTTCGTAAAAGTTCATCACCAAAAATAACTATATTCTCAAGCTGTCCCTATTCCTTTCTCTTTCCCCAGTTCCATATGGATTCGATCAACTTAACAGGTGCCTGGCCCGCTTAATGGCTTCTTTCCGTTGATCTGGAGATAGAAAAAAAAAGGAAAGGGAAAAGCTTTGAAAAACGGCAAATGGTTTCTCTTTTAAAGGCAAAGGCTGATCAACCGACCTGAAGTGACACCATACCGAAACTTTTCTTCTTTTGATAAGCAAAAGGGATTTTGGCTTTTTTTTTTCATCTGGTAATATTGAATTCTAAAAACGAAATAAAACAATTTTGAGATACTGATCCCTACTCAAAATAATTTTCTTCTTGAAAAATTTTCTGGAAAATGTTCTTGAAAATGTTCTCCCACTTATTCCTGTTTTCATTATGTATTCCTTTGGGTCATCTCCACCCGGGAGGCTCGTCCTGCCACATCAATGACTTGTTGGCGGGTTAAATGTAGACAGAAAATGAAGTGAATAAGAATGCTTGATACTAATAGTTATTCACATTAAATGCTAAATTTATCCTTATAATTAGTAAGTTGAAAAGATTTGAAAGATTTGAAAGCTTAAAAATCTTATTCAACTTTTCTCTAGAAGAGCGTCCTGTTTTGGACAGGTGGCGAGCCAGTGGATGTGGTGCTAGGGAGGATTATGCAAAACATTACCTAATCTGGTAATGTAAAAAAGAATAAAATTAAGTATGATTCATTTAGAAAAAAAAAAGCAAAATAAGGTTAATAAAATGATTTGGTTTGAGAGGTCACCATGGAGATCTTTCTATCAAATAAAAGACATTACAGAGTCCAAGATATTCTGCTGTGCCATCGGCTATTCCATCTGGGAATGGAATAAAGGAAATGTGGGAAGCGATTATAAGGGGAATAATAGCTAGAAATCTGTATTCTGTAAAGCTAAAACTAAATCAATTTGTAGATTGTAGATCATTTGTCACACTCGAATATTTATACTGAAATATTGCTTTTTTATGAAACCGAAAAGCAAAGATTTCTCCACGCTAATTCATTCTGGGTGCGATTTGTAGTCTTGTCACCAGCTTTTCTTCCCCGGGGAAAAGTTATTAACGGATCTACTGGGTTTTATTTTCGCCAAAAAATTGTTTACAAACGATAGTTTCAGAACGAAAAAGGGGAATTATTCGAGGTGAATGCTTGGCTGAAATATCAGTGGATGGACGAGAATCTAAGATGGGAAACCCGGAGCATTACGAGAATGTTTCCGATCTTCGTTTTCCCGCTGGCACTGTTTGGCAACCGGATAAGCCTTGCTTACAATGGGGAAAAAAGAAGTTAAGGAATTGGTAAGAAAAAGCAGATTTCCCGAGAGGGATTGAACCTTCGACCTTTTGTTTTCCGGGCAATCAATTGCCTCAACTACTCGAGCTATCCAAGTTTTAATGCCAAGAGAAAGAAGGAAAGAAGGAAAGGAAGAAAGAAGGAAGTTAGAGAATGGAACCAACTGGGTCTTGGAACCGTGGGCTCCCGTCGCACCTTGGAAATCAGAAACCACGAGTAAAGAAGAAAGTGCAATAAAGAAGTGAAGGCGAGAGGAATCAGTAAGAAAGAGAAGATCCAGATAATCAATAAGCAAGATCTAATCTAAAAGAAAAAGCCCTAAAAAGTACAAAAAGTCCAATCGTTTTCAGTGTTGACTCGACTTTTGACTCTACTTTACAAAGCGAACATTGTCGGCTATGGGACGGGTGAATGGGGAGGGCTTCCGCCAGGTAAACAAACCTCAAAGCCTTACGCTTTTAGGCTTCATATTCATTACACTTTAAAACTTTACTTAACAACTTCTGTTTTTTTCTTTACAAAACTTGATTCTAATAGTAATAGTCAATTACTCTACAAAAGCCGAAAATATTATTTTAGGTATTTTTAAAAATCTCATGTAAACTCGACGTCACCTATTTTCCCTTCTGACACGCAATTAGTGCTGGTTTGGGCAAGTCTTTTTCAACGTCTATATTTTCAACTTTAAAAAAACTGTTGGAAATCGGGAGTGGGAAAATGCGACCTTTTTTTGGGCACCCGGACATTTGGAGGGACCTTACGTTCCGCACCCTGCCTGTAGCGCAGCTTAATTCGAGTTAAAAGCTCTGGCCATATTAAATTACTATCTAAATGTTAGTTTGTGTAGGTAGTGGTGGTATCGAATGGAATCTGGACATAACAGAGCGTGTGGAACCAATAGTTATTAAAAGACAAAACGGCAAGGTCAAATGGTAGAAAATTTTTGATTGATGACCTTTTCTCTTTGTATAACTCCGTCCGTTTGTTTCCACAAGCTCTGATATGTCAAAATTTGAATTCGACACCCTGAAATTACCTAGAGAAAACAACTTTGGAATAGAAATTGGTTAATATTAGCCTTTTAGAGCTTTTTAAAACGCGAAAAAAGGCAGCTAGACAGCAAGGTAAGTGGAAAAAAAGGTGCAAAATGTCCGGGTGCGCAAAAAAAGGTCGCATTTGTCCCACTCCTGCTGAAATCAAAGCAGATTTTTTTTTTAGTTTGGTTCATGGACTCACACATAGCTCAACAAGTCAATTTACAAGAAGGGAAATTCCTGACTTTTCTGGATTTCAGTGAAAATGGGGAATGGATTTTGGGAAAGTGGGAGAGGTGCTTTGAAATTTTGAAATTTTGACATTTTCTCTCAAATTTTAACAGTAAAAACTTCAAAACAAAAAAAAAACTCAAAGGATTTCGCAAAAACCTTTTAAATTATCGAGGTTTTTGCCGCATAATAAGAAGAAATGCTCTAAAAACCAAAAAAAATATAGAAAATGGGCTCTTTGGTACGACCAATGTTTACATTTACATAAATAAGATGAATTTTTATTTTAAAAAACATGTAAAAAAATGTCATTATCAACTAGCTAACTTAAAAAAAAATTGAGAAAATTTAGATTGTTTCGCTTTTTGATTGATAATACTGGATACTTTACGTATTAAAATTCACAAAGAAATTCAAATGATCAAAATGAGGGGTAGGCTAATTTCCGCAATTCTTTTTGGTAACTGGGTCTTTTGTACTGCCATAACTTCTTTCTTGGTGGATCGTCTTTATGATTTTGATGAACATTTTGTGCAGTTAAAGAGATCTACAAATGAAACCAAAATCATAAAGATTGGTCCACATAGAAAGGTTAGGGCGGTCGCGCAAACAAAATGACGGCAATTTAGCCTACCTGATGTTGTCAACTCAAGCCCTACAAAAGCAAAAACACTAAATTAGGGGTTAACAAAAATACCCTTTCGGGCTCGAGGCAACAAAACGGGGGTAGGCTAATTGCCGCCATTTTGTTTAGTGACTCGCCATAAATTTTCCTTAAGGGACCAATCTTTATGGATTTTGGTTTCATTTTGTAGATCTCAATAAGTGCAACAAAATGACATCAAAATCATAAAGATTGACCTACTTAGAGGAAAAGTTATGGCGAGTTACGCCAAAGACCCAGTTGCGCAAAAAAATCGCGGAAATTAGCCTACCCTACGCTCGTTGAGTCCAAAACGCCAAATTTCTCTTGAACCAAACTTTTTTATGCCATTTTTGTCCTCTTTCAATGGAATCAAAATCAAATTGAAATCCGTGCAAAAAGTTATTTTTTGCGCTTACCAAAAACACTTTTCCCAAAACGCTCCCAAAACACTCTTTTAAGTAGGACACAGAACTTATGGACCAACCCAATATTTTGTGAAGAATTTCTTCATGTAACCTCAAAAATCTTTTTGTTATCGAGGTTTGCCTGTATCAATTTCTTTTCAGAATTCTGGCAAACATCACCGCAAGCGAGTACAACAATGCCGTCTATCAGGCGGTCTACTTTTACATCAAACTAAAGAGGAGAACTTTGTAAGGGAAAGGGAAAGATTTTAGAATGTCTTTTTAAGGTACTATTTCTTCAATTTGATTATGCCATGTCTGATCACGATGGTCTTGAACGTTTTGGGATTTACGCTAAGGTGAGTGAAAAGATGCGGCGAAATTTGGTGGCGGAACTCCTAAAGGCTTAAAGCCAGAGTCATTTTATGGTAAAGATTCATTTCTTCGCTAAATATTCTATCAAATTTTACAACTTTTTTCAGGCCAGAGTCCGGCGAGAAAGTCGGCCTTCAAATCTCGGTTTCGCTCGCGATTTGCATCTTCTCCGAGATGATGAACGCGATGATCCCACAGACATCGGAAGCTGTGCCATTGCTGGGTAAACTTCGAAAGCTAACTATGAGGGTGTGAACTCTTTTTAGGTATTTTCTTCCAATCCTGTATGGTTCTCTCGGTGTTTGCGACTTTCTTCACAGTCTATGTACAATGTTATCACTTTAAAATCCACCAGAACTCGCATCGGATGTCATTTTGGGTGAGTGAGAGTCAATGAAATAAACAATTAAAGTAAAGTAACGTAAGGGAAAGCCAATTTCTAGATGCGCTGGTTGTTGCCTCGAGTGGGCGCCGTGGTTGATGAGGATGAAAAGTGCCGAGACGGAGAAATGATCTCACTTCACTAAAGTAGGCAAATCATTGTGATATTGTCATCGTACTGTACCATACAAACTTTCACTTTACAACTACAGTACAGCACCTTAAGAATGCTTGAGTTCTTGAGTCTAAAACCTTGAGAATACTTCTTAAACTTCTTCAAATTCTTCAGATCCAGCTGGCAACAGCGCAAAGCTGAAAAGGAAAGAGGACAACAAAACCGCGTTCACATAAGGTTAAACTTTAGTTTATGTTTAGTTTATGTTTAAAACAGATAAAAAGTTTCGAAAATCAAAAATCAAAACAGATAAAGGGTCAGGAAAAATTTTGGGAACGAGGTGTCCACTCAAACTGATGGCTGCAATGAGTAATACGATGAAGGATAATTTCGATAACCTTGTCTTCAGGTATTTGCTTCAAAGTATACACTCTTTGTTTTTCAGGTTCAAAAAGCGGATCGACATAAGGACAGTGTACTCAGCAAGGCGGCTGAATGTTTTAGAGAAAATCTATAATCATGTCAAGGTAGGGTAAGGCGATTTGCCAAATCAAACGAGTTTAGATGATTCGTGAACATGATGATGACACGAATGAGGAAAAATTCCGGCGGAAAGCGAGTGGAGGTGAGTGAGCAAAATATTTACCAAGCCTTCTCTGACTTCTGCTCTTGGTGTAAAGCCCATGTACTCGTCAACAGCCAGGCTTGGTTGGTTTCATACCCTGGCTACCTGGTAGGCTTGTCTAGTCTAGCTTATAGACTTTATAGTTAAAAGTTTGGGTCAAGAGAGCACAAGCCATGCTTAGTTGGTTTCATACCTGGCTACCTCGGCTCTAGGCAGCGGTCTAGTCTGGCTTATAGACTTTAGAGTTAGAAGTTTGGGTCAAGAGAGCACAAGATCACCAATACAGTAGCTTGATCAATAGCCTAATCTTAATCAATACCCTTTCAGATTCGCCGCCTCGCTCGTCGACCGTTTAGGCCTTTGACTTTCACGGCGATGCTGATGGGAACGATTTCCTGGATTGGTCTCAAGGTCCCTCTTATTTAGCCGCTTGATTACACAAACTCCTCAGATCTACAGATCCCTCAGTTTTGATCTCAAACAATCCATATCAACAATTATAAGAAATTCTTCTTTATAATAAACTATAATAAACTATAATAAACTATAATATAATATATAAAGTCACGTCTCAATACACTGGTCCTTTCCGGTCGATCAATCACAAAGGGAGATTCACAAAAAAAGAGTTTTGGGTCTGGAAGAGAAAAGGATGATCGATGAGGATCAAATGAGGGAAACTCATGAGTGTGAACAATACAAAAAAAGAAACTAAAAGGGGGAAAGATTGACCAAAAAAAAGCGTCATAAGCGGTTGAGCAATAGCTTTCACTTTCCCCCCCCTACTTGTAACGGTCTGTATTCCTTCATTGGAATCAAAAAGACTCACAACTCTTAAACCAAGGATCAACAAAGTTCTGTATGTCTTTAAAGAAGTGGCTTGAATTAGGATTGAAAATCTCTAAAATCAAATTATCGGTGATGAAGTTGATGTAGAAATGAATAGCGCCAATCGATCAATCACTATGCCCAATTTCTTTGTGATCTACCTTAAATTCATGTGTATTTTGCTAGAAATTCAATGAAAGAGTGACAGTTAGAGCACCGTTTTCTCATCCCTAACAAATTTCAAGACCAAAACACATCAAAAATAGCTTCAAATCGCCGCCGATAGTCTAGGAATGATGGATGAGGTTGGCCGATGCTGAGACGGTGGTGAGAGGCTAGGTGCGAACAAGCGGATAGAGATCGAGATCCCCTAAATCTTTTATCCACAGTTTAAAGTTATTGCTCTGGTTTTCGTCTCTCTTTTGCTTTTTGAAGTGCTAAAGAGGGGGATCAGTGGTGGTCTTTGTCTTTGGGATACTGAAGAATCTGATCGATCACATCCAATTGCTTTTTCTTTCCCCCAATTCTCTCACCTCATTCCCTCAATAAACAACAATACATTGTTTTTTGCTTTTTACATGATTTATGATACTTTTAAGTTCATTGAACCCTATGAACTTATGCTTTAAGCTTTAGCTTTATACTCTTAAGTGAATTATTACAATTCTAGAATTGCAGAAAGGTCTCATTATCTCATTATCTCATTATTGTCTCATTATCGCGTTCTTTAGTGAAGTTGGATGGATAATTTGGAAGAAACTATCATAATATTTCCTTAATTTGCTCTTATTCAATAAAAAAAAAGTGTGAATTGAGGATTCACAAAAAAAAAAAATTGAACTAGTAAACATAAAGAAGCTTTCCAAATTGCCTACCTATTAGGAAATCCGGGAATGGGACAAATGCTACCTTTTTTTGCGCACCCGGACATTTGCGCACCTTTTTCTCCGCACCTTGCCCATTAGCGCACCTTTTTTCGCGTTTTAAAAAAGCTCTAAAAGCTAATATTAACCAATTTCTATTCCAAATGTTTTTTTTTTCTAGGTAATTTGAGGGTGTCGAATTCAAATTTTGACATAACAGAGGAACCAATTTGAAAGACAAAACGGCTAGATCAAATTACAGAAAATTGTTGATTTTTCTCTTTGTATAACTGCGTCCGTTCGTTTCACAAGCTCTGATATGCCAAAATTTCGATTCTACGCCCTAAAATTACCTAGAAAAACAACATTTGGAATAGAAATTGGTTAATATTAGCTTTTAGAGCTTTTTTAAAACGCGAAAAAAGGTGCGCTAATGGGCTAAGTGCGGAAAAAAAGGTGTGCAAATGTCCGGGTGCTCAAAAAAAAGGGTCGCATTTGTCCCACTCCCGGAAACCCTACTTATCACTATGCTTTTATAGTTTATAACTTTGTTTTTTGAGCTTATGATTAGTGATTTTTCAATGCTATTCATAGAAAACTCACATGTTTTCTTTATTTCCCTCAAAAAAGAAAAAAAAAACAGAACCGGTTGAACACCCGTTCCCTCTTTTTTTCCCCAAAAATCCAATCTCCCGAAAGCGCTTATCAAATTCGGATCCAATTTTGGATCCATGTAGGTAAATTTGCTCCGAGATCCCCAAACGGATAAAAGTAATGGAGATTCTTTTTTTTTAAAGCCCAAACAAGACTGTTTAGATTAGGTTAGGAAAGGGGAACTGAATGGAGAAAAAAAGAGAGAGAAAAAGAGAGAGAAAAGCTCGATAAAAGCTTTAGGATGAATTGGAAGAGGGACTCCATTATCGTTCTTTTCCCCCGCATCTCTTCAGATCGACTCGCGGTCTATTCCCACTTTTTCTAGAGTTTCCGCCCCAACTAACGATTCAATTTCAGCCATCTTGGGACATGGTCTTGGAAAAGTATAGGTGTTGATGCTCCCTTGGGAGTGCGTTGATCAGTTGAATTTTTTTTTTTGGCCTGGGAGAGTTTAAAGAGTGATGACGTGAGTGAAATCTGTAGATTGTGCTTTTCTGATTAAACATTTACTCTAATTTCTAATGTCTATCAAACAGTCTACTTGAATGTCTAAGACAATGACTGTTACAGATTCAAAATTACAAGGTTTGCTCAAAAATTCAATCTCTAACATGACTAGCTTTATTGACAACATTCAATCAACAACTCAATTCAACTCAATTCAACAACTCAATTCAACAATTCAATTCAACAATTCAATTCAACAACAATTCTCTAAGCTTTATGACTAGACTCTGATTTCTCGAAGTCTCAGCGAAAAAGTAACATTTTTAGAGAAAACGGAAAGAGGTGTCTTTTCGCCCGTAATGAATCTGTGTTTTGTCTTGAAAGTGAGATGAAAAAGAAAAGGATTTGAACGGCACAACTGTCCACAGGGGACTCGCAGACTCGGCGGGAAAGCCTTGGTGAGAGAGATGAGAGAGATCATTCCTCGACCTCCTCTACTTTGCTCATTCTCTCGCTCCAGCTAGCTCTACTCAATTGAAATATTTTTATATAATTCTCTAGAGTTTTTTTGACAATTTTTGTTTGACAGAACTTGTTTGAAGTGTCGATAACTTACCGTGACTAGAGCATTTTCTCTATAAATAACATTTCTTTGGTAATATTTGTTTCTTTGGGTTTACTGCAAAAAAAACCTTTCAAAAACTCATCTGTAAGCTGAAATGGACGTATTTAGTCAAATAGAAAAAGGGGATTTCAATTATTTTTTTCTCTGATTATTGGTTGATCAATGAACTAAAGGTTATTAGGTTACAGAAAGTTTTTTCGTTTCTTTTCGTCTACCGTTTAAAATCAACAAATACACAAATTGAACTACGGTTTGTTTCATTCGAAAAGCTATTTATTTTTCTGCATTAAAACGGGTTTAAAATGTCTTATGTTTGGATTTTTTTTGGAACGGGTAGTCAAAAATGTGGCTCGATGATTCATTTTAGACACTTTCGCTAAGAAAATCAAATCTTTCTTTGTGTCAATAGATAAAAGATAGAGCATAAAAAGTTAGATATATTGAGAAATTTTCAAAGAAAGAAATTCATTTAGCCAATTTCTTCGTAGAGTTTTTTTTTTATCGATTTATCGATTCGATTCAGTCTGTAGCAATGAACGTATAAAAGGACTCGTTTTCTGTCATTATTCACTCATTTTGATCATTCGAACTTTTTTTTGAATTTCAATACGTAAAGTATCAGTATTATCAATCAAATTTTGAGGCCACTTGAAAAAAACTTCAGAAAATACCTTAGCAAAAACCTCGTCAACAAACAGACATTTCCGTATCGCGACGAGTAAAATTAGTACAATTCTAGCCTCGATCACAAACATTACGGCTTTCCACTAAGTAGTTGAATTCTAAAATGCGCGCTAAAGCGTAGCTGTATTCAGTCTGTAGCAATGAACGTATAAAAGGACACTTTTTCTGTCATTATGCATTCATTTTGATCATTCAAACTTCTTTTTGAATTTTAATACGTAAAGTATCAGTATTATCAATCGAAAAAACGAAACAAACTAAGATTTCTACATTTTTTTTAGTTACCGTAAATACTGTAATAGTACCGCTCCCCCATAATGACGGTGCGGAGTGTTGCGTAGTCTAGCTTTGAACGAGTTTTTCTCGACACTTGTTTATGCTACAATGCGCGCTTAGGTATCAAAAAATAGCCCTGAATTTCAGCGATTTTTTGGTACCAAAGACTCATTTTTTGAAAGTACGGGCGCTTTGAAAAAATGAAATACTAAAAAACTTTTGCGACTACGCGACTGTACGAGGGGGGGGTACTATTACAGTATTTACGGTAGGTGACGTGGTGTATTTATTATTTTTCAACGGGGAATTACGAAAAGAAAGGGAAAGCTTTTCTGGATATTCTAATAATTTTCCACGGATTATTATTACCTTATAAATATGAGCAGACAGACGAATTCTCAAATGTGATCATTGTCTTTAAGCTACAGTACTGGACAATGAAATATCATATTTGAAAAACGATCGTCACTTTCGCGCGTCTGTAACTCCCTTGTCTTTGAGATTAAAAACTATTATTGTTTGACATTTTCTGAAAGCTCTTTTCAAGGGCTACACAATGGTAATATTGATATTTAGAAATACGGTAAAGACAAGGGAGTTACAGACGGACGAAAGTGATGATCTTTTCTTCAAATATGATATTTCATTGTCCAGTAGTGTACCTGTTTCCCCCAATGTGTCCTGTCATGTTTTCGTCACTTAAAACGATCACTTTTTTTGATTTGCACACAAATTTCCCGTCTCTCTCTTTCCTTCACAAGTTTCTTCAAGTCCAAATGTAATCGGATATCTTTTTATCGCCATTTCTCTCTTTTACCACATGCATGTCAGTTTTCTTTTCCGGATTCTTGGTTGAAGAAACACTTGTTGTGCACCTGGAAAAGGGGATTTTCGGGAGAGTTTCCCTGAATATTTGATCGAATCATCCGATTTGCAACTCTCAAATCTATATCGATGATTGTTATTTTGATTCTAT